CTGAGAAGCAGAGACAGCACCATCTCCAGCACTGCCTAAGTCACTTCAGAGCCAGATACTCCAAGAGTATTTTAGGCACCTAAAGAACAGAGACGAGAACCTTGCCTGGCTGTAAGAGCACCTAAATCTGCAGGAAGGTTGGTGCAAGCTTAGGAAACCCCACAAAGTCCCTGCCTGAGCTGCTGTCCAGCATCTTCATCTACAGCTGATCCAACATTATTTGGATGCTTTGGGTTTAATTTGTTGTGGGATTTTTTTCTCTTTTTCTGGATTATATTGGTTAAGAAAATGCTTGAGAAAGGGAGGGAAGCTGGAAAGGAAAATCTAATTACAGCAGTAGGAAGGAAACTGTAAACCTCATAAATGCTCACATGATGAAGAAGCAGCCATGTCCTAAAAGCTGGTTTGATAAACACCTCAGGAGGTGCCACCATCAGGCACGTACTCAACAAATACATAAATGATGGCTCCTCTTGCTTCTCTTCCATCTTTCCATTTCCTGCCAGTTATCCCAGAGACTTCCTCATTCCGGTACTCACAGGAGCAAACTCCAAAAGAGGAAAACCCAATCACAAAGTCTTCATGACTTTAGGCTCACGGCCAAGCAATGCCAGAGGATTTCGGCGTGAGCTGTGCCGACATGCCTCCATGCCATGCACTGCACAGCTTGGCCCCACAGCACTGGGGACAGGCACAGACCCCCCCCTAAATAACTCCGGCATCCCACGCTGAGCCCGGGGGGCATCCTTGGGCAGCGTCTGTGTTATTCACACAAAGGCTGCACAGATGATTCCTCCTACACAGTGACTGTGTTGCAATTCACCAGCAATTAGCTGATGTAAAAGGAGCCGGAGGGCTGAATAACCTTGCACAAGACCTCGGGTGCTTTTCTAACTGGGAACACGACCAGCCACACTAGAGGGTTGCAATTAATTCCCCATGAGGATAAATTCCACTTGGGCAGGGGTAGGACGAAGGTCCACCAGGTGCCTTGCGCTTCTGCATGGAGTCCCTGCAATTCATACGAAAAAAAGATAAGCGAAGAAAAAAACCCCTCATTTGCAGGGGAAGAATTAAAAGACCATGGAACAGCAGAGCCATCCATAGAATCACAGAATAGTTTGGGTTGGAAGGGACCTTAAATATCACCTGGTTCCAACCCCCCTGCCATGAGCAGGGACACCTTCCACCAGACCAGGTTGCTCAGAGCTCCATCCAACCTGGCCTTGAACACTGCCAGGGAGGGGGCAGCCACAGCTTCTCTGGGCAACCTATGCCAGGACCTCATCACCCTCATGGTGAAGAATTTCTTCCATGTATCTGATCTAAATCTGCCCCCTTTCAGTTTAAAGCCACTGGCCCTTGTCCTACCACTCCATGCCCTTGTCAAAAGCCCCTCTCCATCCTTCCTGTAGGCCCCTTCAGGTACTGAAGGCTGCTCTAAGGTCACCCTGGAGCCTTCTCTTCTCCAGGCTGAACAGCCCCAACTGTCTCCAGTCCTGAGCACACCAGGCCACACTGGAGTGTTTTGTCCCAGCAGACACTGTGACCTTGGGGGAAAAATGCAATTTTCATGCCTCGTGCCCAAGCCCGCAGCAAGCAGGACCGTAGCAGCTGATGTTTTGTGTGACCTACACAAGAAGTTTTGGTCTCTGCCCCAATGCAAGATGCCCACAGCAGGCAGGGCAGAGGAGCATGGCTGAACTCTCATCTTGCTTTCTGTCCTCTCTGGTTTAACAGGCTCTGCCATCCAGGACTGGCACCCCAGCACCCAAATCCCCCTCCTCCTGGCTGTCCCTCGGCGGGGGACAGCACAACAGGAGCAAACACCGCAACTGAGCCAGCAAGACCAGGCACGGGGCAAAGCCAAGCTGCACACTTCAAACCTGCACCTCTCACCTACCATGCAGACCTGAGGGTACTTTTTTGAATGTGTATTTTGCAAAGAAAATGCAAAATGCTTTTTAATGTATATATTTATCAAGGTCTTTATATTCACAGCTTTGCCTTGCTGAATCCACTTAGCCAAAAACTTCACCCATTTGAATTGGGCACAACCGGTGTTGCGGCGCGCAAGGTTTGTGCATCGCCCTCGATGCCTCAATTACGCCACGTAAGAGGACAAGGACACCCTCTCCCCCCCATGGAGTTACACCTCTGGGTCATGAACCCACCCATCCTACGTGCCTGGTTTATTTTCTCAAGGCGTAAAGAGAGCTGGCTTGGAGGCAGGGTGGGAGCGCTGGGCTTGCGGCTCCTCGCACCTCCCACACTGCCAGGAAATACCCTGCCTATGTGTGCGGCTCAGCTGCTCTCCAACATTTCCCCTGCACACCCACAGACAGACAAAATACTGATATATATAAAATACACACATGTAAACACATAATAAAACGGTTTTAAAACATTCAAATATATAAATAACATATAATACAGAAAATATTTATGTGGTATGTATTAATGTATACGTCTATATTAAATATATGTAATAAATAAATATATTGCAGATGTGTAGATATGCAAATGGCAAAGGGCTGCTTAAAGGGCACAGCTCAGAAACACGAAATGACGGAGCCAAGGACATAACCAACATCCAGGTGGATGGAGGAGGGAGCGATGCTGGAAGTGCGCGCAGCACAAAGCCAAGGATTGCCCAGACCCTGGCCTGTCCCACGACCTGCCAACACGATGAGTTAAACGTGTCCCAACAGCCTGGGGACCCACCTGCGCCCGCTTTTACAGCTTCCCCGTTCCTCCTCGGCACCTCCTAGCCAAGGCACCTCCAGGACAGGCCTGCTTCGTGGCACTTCTTCAGCTGGCTGCTAAATCCTCTTCCCAGGACCATTTCTTTTTGCTCTACCTTCAGAGCCCATCAGCAGATGCAAGCAGCTGCCAGTGTGGGAAGCGGAGCTGCGGGACGGGGCCAGCAGTGCCCTGGGAGGGTGGCACGATGGCTCTGGTGCTCACTGCCCATGGGTTTCCCTGGGAGAACCCAGACCATCAGAAAAGGACAAAGCCCCAGTTTCCCAGCCAGACTCACTCCCAGAGCCTGCTAAGGATAATTTAAAGCCAGCTGCTTGTGTTTGCCTTAAGCTATTGATGGAGCCCACGATCGCAAGCCTTCCCTCCCCTCGCCAATTCTTGCCCAGGCAGATCGTCAGCAACCACCACCGATCCCAACACAGTGATAAAAAAACCCCACTTGCCAACGGGCTGGTACTGGGCTCCACCTCAAAATACCGCTTTTAGCAACCCAGTGTATGCCAGGCACACGAGCCACGCTCACTATTTCTTCGCAATGCTTTGAAGACACATTGCAGCCACGGAGAGCTCAACGCTTCCCTGCCAGCAAGGGAAAACCCCACCCCAGCGCTCCCAATAAAGGTTCTCGCTATTTTGCACTGTATTTCATCTGTCTGTGTGTTGAAACGTTTTAATCCTGTACCTATGTATAGTCCTGTAACAGCAATTTTCAGTGCCAGCCAGAAAATAAACACAGTTAACGGAAAACACTCTGGAGCCAAGTATACAAAATGACAGTACTATAAACCAGAAGCATTTGTCCCATTAAGGTTTCCATTCGTAGACAGAATAGCAAGGGATGAGTTATTTGGAAGAGATTTTAGGGACATCGGTAATGTCACAGGGCAAGAGAAAAGCTGTGACTGCAAGAGCTTCGCTCAGGAGTGACTCAGCACAGCAGCTGCATCCTGGAAAATTAATACTCCAGCCCCCAGCAAATGCCCACAAAGGCTTTCAGAGCTTGCAAAAAACAACGCTGCAAGCCCCATCAGCCACCCGATCTGCTCACCGCCACGGGGACTGACACACGTCCCCCTCCCCAGCTCCACGGGGAAGCCTCGCCCCCAGCTGCAGAGCTCCAGCAGCCACCATGGGGACCCAAGGCAGCGCTGTCGATGGGAAGCAATCACATTTTGGCCCCAAAGCTGAAGAAGACAACCCCCTCGCTACCCCCAGGGCCCAACATATCCCTCTTCATCCCCCACGGGCCCCCCGAGCAGCCCCTGCTCCAACCCAGGTGTCCCTGAGCAGAGGCAGGTGTTAAGGAGGTTAACGCAGAATCGTGTCAAGTAACAAACACCTAGTATTTATTAATAAATTAGTACACTGGAAGGCAATTTTTCAATTTATTCCCCTCTTCCCCCACTCCCACCCCTTCCCTCAGGGCGGCACAGGCCACCCTCGTATCATCATTTCTTCAAATTGAGTGTAGTACAGACTGTTCGTTAGGGAGCGTAATAGTTGCAAGTATAATCAGACAGACTTCTTACGATGCGGCTTTTCCCCCCCCTCCCCCCCTTTTTTTTTC